CAATTTCTATATATTTTGGGCGAATTCTCATTTGCAAAACACATTAAAAAATAAAATTCGTTATTTCTATTCTTATCTCTTCTCTTGGCATCATCAATTTCTTTANATAAATTTTTTATTTTCTATTCTTCTCTCTTTTCTCTTGGCATCTTAAGTTTCATTATAGAGCTTTTTCTTGGTTTGATCAAATAGTCACAGTTTGAATCAAACGTCTCCATTGTATCCCGATAGAGATTTTCTATCATACTCCAGTCGCGATTTTGTTGGATATGGGAGAAACATCTCTTAAAAGATAATGATTTTCGTACATTGGAGTTAATTAGTTTTTCAGATTTTCCTACATATTTCCCAACAGAGAGAAGCTTTAACACTCTAAAAATAGAAACATAATCGTTAATTTTCTTTTCGATATTTTTTTTTCTTTCATTTGATTGCTTAAATAATTTTCGAGTCAGCACGTTTTATGAAACCTCTATATCTAGATGAAGCTCTAGATAACATCTATTTTTTTTTTTTTTCAGTAGCACGAGCTCGACGGATTGGAAATTATTTTTCCAAACATAGTCTTATCTTACTGACGTGACAATTTTTTCAAACAATTGTTCGAAGAGCATCTCCAATGAATTTTATGAATTGCGGTTTACATGGCATTCAAGTGGACAGATCAACATTGATGCCTAATACATACTTTCAAAACCCAGTAGTTTTGCTTAGTTGTGTCTTTTATTTAGCACCCATGTTTTCTAGACCTTCACATTTTGCAGTTATCTGTCCAACTCTTTTCATTGTATCTTTGTCTTCAACCTTCTATTGTTTAACCTTGAGGGGTTATTCAATTGGTCAAACCTTGGATTTACTCTCCAATGGTCACCAGTTCGAATCCCCTTAAGGCCACTGAGGCGAGTATCAGGCCGTAAACTTCAGGGCCCCGTGGAATTAGTCGAGGTGCGCGCAAACTGAACCGAACATCCACGGTTATAAAAAAAAAATCACTAGACAGGCATGACAAGATTTTATTTGCTTCTTGTGTATTTCAACAAGACAGATAAACAATAAATACAAAGTTTGACAAAATATATGCCCTTCATTTCGATACATGCTAGCAGAATATTTGGACAAAAATTATTATTAAAAACAAAATGTGATAAAAAATTAAATGTTAACGATAAGAATGCAGTGCAGAAAAATTATGGACATAAAGGCAAAAATGAGCAAAATTTGGGGAATCAAATTAAATATGGTATAGATAATAAAAATTGTTGTGTATATATAATTATCTTAAAAATAAATAAAAGGAAGAGACAGAAATTTTAATACTCTAAACTAGAAAATAATCCTTAATTCTCCGCCCCATAATTTTCTCTTTCATTTGATTGTTTGAATAATTGTTGAATTAGCACGTCTAACACAATATATCTAAATCGGTGTTCTAAAAAACTCGTATAGGCAAGTCTAGATACTGCTTATACTAGAAATTCGAGCAAAACGTCTCAATTTACGCCTAGGCCTTTTTTTTTTTTTTTATCAATTCCTAAATGATTGAATTTTTTCCTTCGTCTTTTTTGTCTTCTCCAGGCCAGCTTTATTAGGTTTTTTTTTTTAAAGTCTTTTATTTGAATTAGTTTATTAATTATTTTATTTTAAAAAAAAATTTCATTTGACTTTAATGTTAAGTTTTTAAAAGATTTTATCTCTATAAAAGTTAAAAATGATTTTATTCGATAAATAGTTAAATAAGGTTTAAGTTACAATACTATCTACGTTATGTAATTACTCGTTATTTTGTTGAAAACTTTAAAAGCATGTATGAAGTTCCTATAAATCTATTAAGTATGACTTATCTAGTTGAAAATTGATAATATACAAAAAAAAAAAAAAGTCTAATTTTTGCATTTTGAAAACTTGAAAATTGTACAATTGACTAATTGTAGAAATTATTAAGAAAATACAGTAATTTATAATTTTAGATATGCTTTTTTTTTCGCCTCGTTTAGGCTGGTTTAAACTTGTAAAATTTGAAATTTCATCTCCACGTTTATCCACGTTTTACGCCTTTTAAAGCACTAATTTAAACGGGACTCTAGATAATATCAATTATTCATTCATATCATTTTGATAAAAACTTCATCAATTTGCATTGGAGATGGGTTTTTTTTTTGGAAATTGTTTATTTCTATTTACCTGGCAATCTTTTTAAACAATGGAGGTTAGCTTCAGATGCTTTTGGAGTTATATTCTTCTGTTATTGAAAACTCCTCAGAAATAAGCCAACTCAATGGCAAATCAATTCAATAAATCTAATTTAATTGTTGAGACCAGGGGCGGACCCAAGAAATTTTTTCTAGTGTTGACGGTATTAGTAAAAGTAAAAAAAATAAAATAAAAATTATACACAAACATTATATTAAAATGAAATATCTTACAATTGTTCGTACGAGTTTTCATACTTTGATATCTTTGTACAATCGCTTCATTATCAATATTTAAGAATATATCTTTCTATACATAAACAATAAGGCTATTATTCATCAACTCTTCTCCAATTCGATCGCACAAAATACAAGTACCGATGACTAATTGTAATAAGATTACTGCAAAATACAAGTATTGATGCCCAATCTTCTACTCTCTCCTCCCAACTAGCATATAAAGGATGGACTCAAGCACATTTAAGATGCAGAGTGGAAATGTCAAGTTGAAACAGGAACGATATTTCCTTGTTGCATCAAATAGTTTGTAGGAAAATCATCTGGAGAATTAAATATTAATCAACATTATAGCTGTTGTTCCCAGCATATCAATATAGATTCATTGTTAAACAAACAATAGATTGAAGAAGCTTCTAGCTTCCCCAAAGATATATAAAAATAAAACAAAAACAGTAGAACTATTCAATACATTGGGAACAATACCAATTAAGAAAAATCGCCCGCCGACGAAGAAGATTTTCTTCACATGAAAATGGAGACCATTTGGCCATTTGCCTCTACAGCTTTACTTTAAGATTCCACCGACCACCTAACAATACAAATTACAATACAACACAAATCCACCTCCTAAATTAATCTCACGGTCCCAAAAAAACCATCATAGAGAGAGAAATTAAAGTGTTTAGGGAGAGAAATTGAAGTTCTTCAACTTCAACTCTTCAATTCAAGAAATTATAGAAAACTCACCAGGGGCGGGGGATGCAGGGGCGTGCGGCGTGGATGCTAGAGCTTCTCAATTCTCTGTTGATGCAGCCTTGCAGTGGCGTATTGTAATGGATTGCAGGGCTATACAGTTTGGGCCAAATAATTGGCCCACTTGTTTTTTTTGTGTATTGGGTTGTTGAAAAAATTGGGGTGGCCCAAAGCCTAGTGCAAACCCAACTTGCACTGGGCTTGGGCTAAGGTCGCCCCTGGTTGAGACTATCCTAAATTAATTAATCAATTAATTGTCACAATGCTTGCATGCATTCAAAATTATATACTGTTTACACATTTCCCCATTCTCACTACGGTACAATTAGAGTTGCTTTAAAAAATAAACTTTTATTTAAAAATAAAAATGGATAATAGTGGTTGATAGCACCGGCCCTTAAAACTCGTATGATTTTCAACAATGAACCACCGGGGTTTCAATCCTCGTCTCATTTTTCATTGAATATATTTGTTTATATTCATTTTTGCTCGGATTGATATCACAAAATAAAGGGGAATGACTTGGCTATCTCACCCATTGCAGCTGGAATAATAAAATTGATATAAATGAGTTCTAAAAAAATGAAAATAATACATTTTAATGATAGCTTGATCCCAATACGTATGATATGTTGATTGGCATGTCAACCTCCATTATCCTTTCAGGGCCTATCTAAAAGTGTCACGTGCTTCTTGATCGTAAATATTTTTATTGACTGTCTGTTGTTCAAAAATTCTTATTTGAACAATTTATACCATTTATTTATAGCATTTAGATATCTAATATTTCAATTCTTTCGCATCTGAACAATAACATATTGTTCCACGTATGAGGAACAATATCTTTCGAGCTAAGTTAGAATTCATCTTGCAAATGTCATATTTTTCTCGACAGTGTAATTTAGCCTAACAAATAAAGAGTTACTATTATCTTTCCCATCATTTTGATAGCGCAAAAGTGTGTCCGCGTCCCCTCCAATTGATGGACGAACAAGAAAGAATTTTTCAGAGCACCTAGAGCCATAAATTAACTTTTTCATACGAACATTCAATGCATGTATATGTTTATATAACTAAAGGGGTCACCATCATTGAAGATACTCAACTCTTATTCGATTCAAGACACATGTAAAAAATTCAATAAGCTCATTCATTCACAGCTCGCAATGCAACTTTCCCCTCGATCTCCATGGTTCCACCATTAATAAATGAATCCTTCACGAACATTTCGAAATTATATAAAAAGAAAAAAAAATCAAATCCCATGATTATTTCTTTCTTTAAACAACTATTATTATTTTTCAAAAAATAAAAAATAAAAAAATGCATATGCCTATAAAAGAAAGAAATGGTTCGTATTATTGCGTAGCCCTAATTTTATCAGCTGCCCCGTTCATAGCCGCCTCACATTCGTTACCATGTTCCTCACATCCGAAACCCCAAAACCCTGAAACTTCATAATATTAATATATATTCATGCCCAACGTGTATTTTTATATATGTATGTTTATGTATATTGGCACTGGATTTAAGTTATAGCAATAATTTCATTGATTCGTTGTATCAAGATCCAAGATTTGTTGATTTCACAAGGTATTTGTTGTTTTAATTCACATTTGTTGGATGAGTCTTCATTCTTTTTATTTGGCTGTTGGAATTAGGGGCTGATCTTGCACTTTCTGGATTTTATGCAGTTTTTATTTGGAATTTGGGGGTTTTTGATAGACAAATCCGAGGGCTCTTCAAATGTTCAAATTTTGATTGATAAAAGTCTGTTAAATACGTTGAATAAATTTGCTCTGAAAATCTTTGTGGGAGATGTCACTTTTAACAAAAAGCGAATCGATTCAGATTCGGGAGGTTTGGGCTGATAATCTGGACCAAGAATTTGCCCTAATTCGTAATATTGTCGATGATTACCCATATATTGCCATGGATACTGAGTTCCCGGGTATTGTAATCCGACCCGTGGGAAATTTCAAGAATTCCAGTGACTATCATTACCAAACTTTGAAAGCCAATGTTGATTTACTGAAGCTGATTCAGTTAGGGCTTACATTTTCGGATGACAAGGGAAATTTGCCCACTTGTGGAACAGAAAAGTATTTCATTTGGCAATTCAATTTCCAGGAATTTAATCCAAATGAGGATGTATTTGCCAACGATTCGATTGAATTGTTGCGCCAGAGTGGCATTGATTTCTCGAAGAATATCGAGAAGGGCATTGACGCCAAGCGATTTGGGGAGCTTTTGATGTCATCAGGGATTGTTTTAAACGATAATGTGTACTGGGTGACTTTCCATAGTGGCTATGATTTCGGGTACTTGCTCAAGCTCTTGACTTGCCAGAGCTTGCCCGATACACAAGAGGGGTTCTTTACTATGATCCATGTGTATTTTCCCGTGCTTTATGATATTAAGCATTTGATGAAGTTCTGTAACAGTCTACACGGGGGTTTGAATAAGCTGGCCGAGTTGTTGGAGGTGGAAAGAGTTGGGGTTTGCCACCAGGCGGGTTCGGATAGTTTGCTCACATCTTTTGCTTTCAGGAAGTTGAAGGAGAACTTTTTTAGTGGTTCCCTGGAGAAATATTCCGGAGTGTTGTACGGTCTAGGCGTTGAGAATGGACAGAATACAAACTGAGGATAGGGGAAAAGGTGAAATAAAAAAAAAAGTGAAATCATAGATAATGTACTACATTGTGTGGGCATGTTTATAAGGATGCCACCCTTCTTTGTATAATCTTGAAGTAAAGGTTTGTTTATTTAATGAAATATTTCGTAAGGTTTACAAGGATGCCACCCTTCTTTGTATTGTCTTGAAGTAAAGGTTTGTTTTTTTAATGAAATATTTCGTAATGTTGGAGTTTTATATCTCCTGCTGCACTTTGTTGTTGACATATTTTTCATATTTCTGCTTCAAGATTTATTGTTATGGTTCTTTTGATCAAGAAAAAACCCCACCCCAATCAAAAAGTTTGATTCTTGTTGAGGTTGAAGTTGGGAATTCTTGGTAATCGTCCATGTTTAAGACAGGATTTTTCCTTGGATAGTTGTAAACATGCTGTTGGATTGTGAGTGATATGCAATGTGCCAAGGTGAAGTTAACATTACTTTTGACAATCAAATCTACAGAAATTTTGGAGAAATGAACTTGAATTTTTTCGAAGGAATTGACATTCAGAACCTTCTCAGCCAACATTTCATCTTCTCAAGTTTAATTTTATTTTCATTTTTTTGGGCCTTGGAATGCTGTTGGATTTGGTTGGATTTTATGATCAGTCGACTGGTTAGTTTTAAAGGCTCAAGTGCCCAGATCAACGGATTTAGACATGCAACTTGTACTTTCGAAGTACACGGTCAAGAACTCAAGATGCCTAGTTTGAATAGGCCTATTCATCTAAACAAACTGAAGAAGACATAAATCGCACACCATGGTGAAAAACTCTATGCCTGGTGCTTTCTTTGAAGCAGTAGACACTACGAACTCTCATCTCAAAGTGAAACAACAAAGCAATATAACTTCCCCCTATTGATTTTAAGTCAGCATTTTGCACTATGTTTCTCATACTTGTTTTTTGTCTCTGTCTTCTCACCTGAAGGCCGTATGACCGTGTCTCTAAACCATGAACCGGCCCACCATCATACACAGCCAAAGCAAAACAACCATGTTTGGACACTAGTTCATTTCTCATGCAAGAAAAGAGAGTGCATCCAGCGGCAACAGAGGTAGAATAATAGGGGGTGGAGACCACACACAATTGGTTCACGACATTTGAATATGAATGCAGCATACTTCTCTCCGTTTTTCCTTTCTTATGACGTTCAAAACATGCAATTGCCAAGAGCGTTTAGTATATTAACAGATTACGGTAATGCAAGTAATAATTTATAACTAGAAATAAAAATATCACTCAGGCTTCACAATAAAAAGCAACGTTTAACAAGATACCAAATTCAAATTCTCTAGTGTTCAATCACAAAGCACTAAATTCTGTTTTAATGAAGAACAGTACATAGCCTCGCATAGTCTAAATAAACATGGGACAACTTCACAGAATACAAAGACTACAATTGAAAATGGTGGGCAATCCTGTCCAATTTCGGCTTCTTCCACAACTATCCAAACTTACCACTCCAGCTGCTTCCTAGCCACAAATAAAAGAAAAAAGAAGAAAATTTTGATTAGAGATATTTCTTATAAAACCAGACTTCTTCGCATCTGCAATGCACACAAAAATAATCACACACACCACAATAGACACCCTGGGTACATATCTCAACTTTCATCGCATTTTCTTTTACTTGAATATGAAATTAGTGCACGCAGAGAGAGAGAGAGAGAGAGATGCACCAGAACTCATCTCTTGCGCTTGAGAGTCTTCAATTGCTTGAAGATGTAATTGATGACTTCTTTCAGCGTGGCTTTCCTATTTTCCTTGTAGTTCCACAGCTCAGGAACCACATACCGACCACTTGGGTTGTATTCATTCATTTCACGGAAGGCTTTAGTAACTGCATCATAAATTTCGTCCCCCCATTCATCCTTAAGGTTTCTTAGCAATTCATCATCTTCATTCAATATTTCCTACATAGTTCAGCAAGACTTTAATATATAATATTCAAATAGTTCTCTGCCAATAATACATCAAGCATAAAGGCAAAGATACCACCTTCAAATCCTAATTCATGTTCAAACAAAATTCAAAAGAATAAAAAATTTCAATAGGAATAATAGGGCGTTAATATCTTGATTTAGACCCACAGATCTGTTAGACATTTAAGCCTGCTGAAAGAGAAGAATTTTAAAAAAATATACACAGAAACAAGCACAGATCATTAATGACCTACCTGAGGATTTCCCTTGTCATCTGTGGTGACTTTGACAGGGTACCATTGAGGATTTTTCAGTTTTTCTTGCCATAGGGAGCAAAGTTCAAGGGCCTTTATCTCAGCTTCTTCAGGTGGGAATCTCAGATTGCATGCATTCTTGAACGCTTTCTCATCGACTTCTCCCATCATCTTTAGCCCAATATTAACGCGACTGCTACTTAGCATCTCACGCAAACTCTGAAAGTAAATAAGACAAATGGAATTATTCATGGCATGGTGACTAGTTAATGACCCTGAAAGTAAAAAAGACAATTGGAAATATTCATAACATGCGGGACTAATTAATGACTACATAACTGGAAAGAACGTATCAATTAGGAGCCACCTCACCCACTACTATGCTATCTGAGTGATCTTTTCTGCACTGCTTTATCACTTATACAGCACTTAAACCCTTGTTGAACCATTACAATCTCACTAATTTAGTATCCCACTATAACTGTGATGCAAGCTAGAAGATTTGATGACATGAAGATATCATACCGTTATTAATTCTTTACGAGCCAGTTGTAGCTCGTCATTACTAGTGCGCTCCTTGACAGTCAATTGTAGATTTAAATCTTCAAGATTATCCATTTCCTCAATTTTCTCCTCCAGCTGCTCATCCATCTCCTTTATCTTTTTCTGGACAGCTGCATCATCTTTTCCCAGATGCTTCATCACCTCTAGTTTTCCTTTTAATTCTTCAATTTCCATTTCTCGTTTTTGCTTCTCATCTAGATTCTTTTCTAACTCGAGAACCTTTTTCAGAGCTTCCTCTTTCTCTTTCTGCATATTATATAAGTCAAAAGTATATTGAAAAGTAATAGAACTTGCACTCATAAGTAATGATAAATATGTAAATAAATGTGGCATACTAGCATGCACCTAATGGAGGGAGAAAAGACACAGCATTAAAGGCACACCTTATGTTCTTCTGCTAGCCTCAGGACATTTTCATCAGCTTTTCTTTGCTCCTCCGAAGCCATTTGAAGTGCATTATTTCTCATATCATTCTGACAAAGACATAATTTTAGCATGATGTGATAATCACCAATTAATTTTCATTTACGACGTCATAACTAGAAATAATTCATCAGCTATGACCTTTCACATGAAATAGTAAAAATAATGAATCACCTTTTTTTTCTCCTCTTCAAGTTTCAGTCTCTCGCGTTCCGTCAAGGTCTCGCGTTTGTTCAGTTCTTTACTCCATGAATCAAGTCGTCTTTTCTTGTTTTCCAACTCTATGTTTAACGTCTCCTGTTCATCTAAAACTCTCCTTACACGCTCCCGTGAATCACGTTGCAGCTTCCTTGTTTCTGAAAGAACACAACACTCAGAAACACATTAATTACTATCAAAACCTGGGATAAAGAAAACTTAATATATTGATCATTTTATGAGTGATCTAATCAATCGTATGCTATGGAGAGGTCTCCTTAGAAAAAGTCTATCAAGCAGATAAAGTTGTGTCTTTATTGGATTCCATGGCAACAAGAAATGACATGGCTAAGTAAATTAATCAAGTTGAGAACTAAAACATTTTGAATTGTAAGTAAAAACTTAAAACTTTAAGCTACCAGGGAGGACAATTTCCTATAATATCAAGGACATAAATATTTACCATCTGTGCATAAATCTAACATAATGCAATATGAGATAAGAGTTGAACGACAAACCTTCATCGAAACGACGGTGAAGTATGTCTTTCTCTTGAAGCATCCTACTAAGGGACATTGCCTTTTCATTGTACTTGATCTGCAAGTGATCCAGATTTTCATTTTTCATGTCTATCTCATTGGCTAGATTAGCCACGATTTTTTCCTTGTCTTTAGCTGCTTCCTCGACAATGTCAGCGATTGTCTTTAATTCTCCATTTTTCCTAAGGTAATCTCCCACTGCCCCTTCTGAATTATAATCATCTTCACGAGCAAACCAGCCATATATATTTGAACCAGGAGAAGTTCTACGCTCATCCCATTCTTTCTTACTATGACCATCAGCTTCAAAAAACTTTTCGAACAACATGACATTCTTAAACCCACTCCAATCATTATCAAATTGTAATACAGCTTGTGCTGTGTGCTCTTGGAGATCCCAGAAAATCTCAACCTTTAAAGGCTTGTACCTGGAAAATTTTTCCAACCAGTATCCACTGCTATCCACACTTTGTCCATTGCTCGGCTCATTCAGTATGTTAATAATTATTCCCGTCCAAGGCCAGCAGTACAAGTCATTCTGCTCAGATTTAACAGCAGGTGCAGGTGTAACCACATGCTGGGGAAGTGGTTCCGCCTTGTCAGCTAGGTCAGTTTCCAAGTACTTAGCCAATGCAAGATGGTTTGCCTTCTGCTTTGCACTTCGGTTGGAAGAGCCTTTGCCTGCTCCAATGGCGTGTTGAAAAAGATGATTGTACTGGTAATCTTGTTTTTTCTTTCCAGCGCAGAAAGGGCACCTAAGGGTACCATTTCGGCCCGTCACTTTGTAAACACCAGCCTTCAGTTCCTCATAAGGTTTTTCAACGTATTCATTAATCTCTGAATCACTGATATCCGACTCTGAATCAGAGCTGCTTCCCATCCGACTTTATAATATGATGAATAGTAGGAATGAAATGAATGTTAGTCCTGCAAGAAGAAAACTGGCTTGAGTTTTGAGTACCCATCAGTAAATATAGGAATACTAATTAGGAGTAATGACCATATGGAGATCTCCAAATGAGCAATATAAATGTAACAAATAGCAGTTTGTGCTGATTCAAGACCCTTAACATAACGTGTTAATTACATATATTGACTAGCAAACCAGCACAAGCCAACAGGTGACAGCAGACTGAATTGATATGATGATCTGAATGAAGCAGAGGGAGGAAATGAAATTTAGAGCTATTACACCATAAATTTGTGATGAAAAGCAAATTATTGATATATAAACCAGCATCCAAACATCATGTAAGGTGGCAATTTACACAATTCTCGATGAAAGTAACAAACTTAATCTGCTACAGGTGGCAATTAAAGGAGAGTTCAGAGAGGCCTACTTTAATTACAAAAGAATAGTTAAGGGAGACTTGCGGGGGCGGAGCCAGGAAAGTAACTCAGTGCGGGCACAAAATATGGATGTTGAACATCGAGTTTTTGGTTATGGATATAATGATGATAAAATTATAAAGCAATATTACGACACGTCTAAATCATTATCGAACTTCAAAAATATATATCTCTCTATGCCCCTGTTTGAAACCCCTTTTTTGGCCAAAAACTTATTCCGCAACAGTGTTTTCAGACAAATGTCCCGAAAGTCAATTATTCTGTCAGAAGCCAATTTTTTTGGTCCTTCTAGCCGTTGTATTTTGTTTCCGGTTTTGCCCCCCCATAGTAATTGCAACATCCGTCATTAACAACCAAGTAGGAGGGCAATATTGGAAAAGTGAATTAATATGCTATTGAAAAGTCAATTTTAGCAACTCTCGTGGAAACGTTGTCAGATGAAATTGGATTGTTTATTTACGTGGGTCCCACCAACTTGGTTAAGTAATTGGAAAAAAATTGGACACCTGTCTTCAAACACTGTTGGAGAGTAAGTTTTTTGCCAAAAAAGGGGTTTCAAACAGGGGCTACATAAAAAATCACAAATATCTGTACTTCCTCTTATCACATTGTGCTAACAGGGTATGGGCTAAATGTGCAACTGACCATTGGCATAGATAGACTAGTTTAAAGTTGGGCTGGTCTTGTTAATTTTGGAATGGTAAGTTTTGCCCTTTAACATTTCAAGTTGGGCCGAGCTTAGACAGGTTGAGCTATACGCAGTTCCTTCCTACCATTTATCATTCGACAATAGAAGGGCATAATCATCCTTTACACACGTTAAAACCTCAGTCCTGCGCTAAAAAGAGAGGTACCATCTTTTCGTGCAAGCATTGAATCTTTTTCACTTTCAATTTCCACGAAATAACTTACATTTCTATATATCTTTCCAAATTCCAAGAACAAACTTGAGAAATTAAACACAAAAAGATGGCCAAAGACAGGAAAATTGGGGTGGCTATGGACTTCTCAAAGAGCAGCAAAATGGCATTGCAATGGGCTATTGACAATTTACACAAATCAAAATAAGAAAAAATAAGAAGAAAAACGAGTATATGTTGGGGTTCGGGGCTTCACCTTCTTCTTCTGTTACTGTCGAATAATCGACGGCGGCCGATGGAGAGGCGAGTTGCAGCCTGCAATAGGGATGGTCTGAACTCCGATGGATCGGGCGAGCTGCGAGCAACAACCAAGATTGAATGTCAGAGGAGGCGGCGGAAACTGATCGGCTGGAGGACTGAGGAGGCGGCGGAAATTGAGTGGAGTCAGGACTGGGAGAAGGAGGAGGCAGAGGTGGATGCGGAGTGGAGGAAGAAGGGTTGTAATTAGTAAGGGTCGTCTAATGAATCTATCTAATGGTAATATGGTATTGGGTTGAATAGGAATGGTATTGGGCTAATGGGCTTCACTTATTGGTTATGGGCATTAGTTTTAAAAAATAATAATTTGGGCCTTCAGATTGGACCCAGAAGTTCAGTGCGGGCACAGTTCATTGGGCTCCACCCCTGGAGACTTGAACGACCTACTTAAGACAGTAAAATGGGTGGTATTATCCTTAGATTAACGTAATGGCCCTTAGGTGTCCATTCTATCTTTTTAGGCATATTCAAACTTCCTATTTCACAACAAAAAAGGCCCTTTCAGGTGGTTTCCGCCCAAAGCACTCATTAGAAGTCGGTGTAAAAACATTTTTGGCATCAGTTACAAATCAACATAATAAATTAAACAAATATAAAGAAATATGGACAAAAATTCAAGAAAAAGAGAACAAAAAGTCTTATAAAGGCAGACCACGGTTCAAGGATTCTGTTGATGCTCATTGAAATGGGTTGAGTTGTGCACACGGGTCATTACATGGCCTTTTTCTGACACAAGATTTGCGCCATTTATAACTTTTATCTAGATCAGGACCAATTAGTGTTGTTATACCACCTGAACCAGGTAAATAGTCCGTGTTTCTTATCACAAACAACACTTGACTCGTAAAAATTAGAAACAGACGCTTCAGAAATGGGAAAGTTATCAGATCTTTGGGAATTGGCTGGGGATCAGATACAGTAACTTATCTAACTTCACAAGAGTCTTTTTTTTCCCCCTTTTTTAAGAGGATAGAAGGATTTCACCCCTCTCCCGGACTGCGCAAGAGAGAATGAGAGCGTGGGACAAAGAAACAAAAAAAAAAAGTGAAATGCGATGTTCAAGGTCCATGATGGTGTGATGCCACATATCATAATTACATTTCTCATAGGTAACTGCTATATTGCAAAATCTAAAATTCTTTTGAGTAGATTTAAGAAACCCCGTGACACTTCATGGACTAGAACAGGAAATGCAATATCAATTTTCTTTATTTAAAGGCAATTTTTTTCTTTTGAAAATGCAATCAAAATGTCCTATGTTATCATTTACCACACCAGCAAAGAGAAATACTTAGATGAAAAGCAAAGAGGAAAATAAATATAGAAAAATAAGTCATTTAGGGTCTGTTATCTTTACCATTTTCAAGCCATTTTCTGTTTTCGATTTTCTAAAATAGTGAAAATGCTTTCTCTTTCCTATTTTCGAAAACGCGTTTTTGAAAACAAGTTAAAAATTTACAAAGAAAACCCAAAACGACAAGGTGTTTTTAGTTATAATCAAGTCAAAATTAACAAAACGTGTTGTGAGTGATTTCAAAACAATTTTTCAAAATGTCAAAAAGAACACATTTTCAACAATCTCAAAATGAACTCTCAAAATACAAAATCCAAAATGAATTCAAAACTCAAAACACAAAATTGAAATACAAAGAGAACAGCCTCTTAGATTTTAAAGCTAAACATCTTATCAAAATATTTAGGCAGAGTAAATGATACGATAGAAGAAAAAATAAAACTTGCAGGTTAATCAATTCCTAAAACAAAATCAGTCATCCAAACAATAAAAAATAAAAATGCAATTCCCTTGGTAATAATAGGAATTACAAATTTACTAGAGGAAATGAGAAGAGGGAGATTTATGGATCTGAGAGAGTTTCACATAGGACGATAAACAAATATATTAATGTAAGTTGTAAAGAAGAAATTTTTAGAATGGGAAACAGGTAGTTCTTTATTAATACAATGTGAGTCTATGTCCTAAGTAAAATGAATACTGGCTATCGATGTAACCAATTGTCTCTAGGGTTTTCAACTTTGAAGAATAGGAAAAATTCCTAAAATTAGGGACTGTACTACTGCCTGACTTTGCTCAACGTGCTCTGAGTCGTCTCATCCCAAAAGAAATACTGTACCGTGTTAACTCAAAAATAGTGTATATTGCCCGGTAAAGGAGAAGATCATCGCTCCTTTAGCTTACCCGAGTCGAGTCGGTACGAACGAGTCAAACAGGTAACAGACAAGCGCAGACACATGCATTCAAATTAAACGCCGGAAAATCATTTAAACATCTGAATACTAGTTAATTATATAAAGAAAGTACATAAAGAGAAACTTGAACACTCTCACCTCAGTGAAAAACGATTCGAAAGGGACGGAGAGAAATAGAGAGAAATTCTGGAGCACCGGACCTCGTTATGAATTGAGGCAAGGAAAATCAACCTCCGGCGAAAAATCTCACGGGGAAACCATGGCCGACGGCTTGGCAGTGAAAAGGGGAAAATCAGTAAAAAGTGGAGTGTGGAGAGCTGCGAAATACAGAATTATAGCAACTTTGTGCTACTGGTACATTATGACATCCATAATAGATGACATAATGTACAAGTGGCTATTATTGGAGAGTGTGCTGACCCATCGGCACACATAATTTCACTTGTACATTATGTCATTCGTTATGGATGTCATAATGTACAAGTAGAATTATCTTTTTCGTTAACCCCATTCGGTACAAAAAAAAAATTATTCTTTGATAAAAGTGCGTTTTGAAACGGTGATGATTTGATGGAGAATATATGATTAAAAAATAAGAAAAATATTTACATATAATATCATTTTATTAAAAAATATGTAATTAAAAATAAGTGATAGAAAAATGTATTTTGAAAATAAAGAGAATCAAACAAGGACTTAGAGAACGAAAATTTTTGGATTTAAGTGTAATATTATTTTATTGAAAAAATGTGATTAAAAATAAGATAGAAAAAAATGTATCTTGAAAATGACGAGAATAAACAAGGATTTAGATATAATTATATAAACATTCCTCTATTGACTGAAAAATACACCAACACTCATTTGCATTAAAAATATCTATCATACTACATGTAAGTCATTTTTTACATCTTTTCAAGTGATAATACATCATTGGATAATTTTAAAAAATAAACAATTTACCCTCCAATCTTTTTTAACAACATATCGCCAGTATGACCCCATTAAAATTTTAATACATTTTTCTATCTTTTATTCAACAACACATTTTTCAATAAAATAATATTATACATAAATTGAAAAAATTTCCTTCCTTTTCAACCATCAATTCTCAAGAAAAAAAATATTATTTCAAAAATTATAC